TTCAGTTATATATACCAGGATCATGATATTGTTATTATTTTCACTGTTTTACTTTAGTATGAGTTTCTGCGGAGCACAGTGTTTTGGTGCTCACGCCCCCACGTATTTCATTTTTTTTTTCAGGTCACCGAGTCAGGAACGAGGAGTGAGCTGACGAGCTGTTCAGGATATTTGTTGATATGTATATATATGTTTTGGCTACAGTACTATTCCGCTACAGTTTTCAGTACTTTAACTCAGCTTTTGATCCGACACCAGTCGGTTAATATATTTATAACCGTTTTTATTATCAGATTAAAATTAACGGTTTTCAGATAAAAGTCAGATTTTACGGTAACACTCTGAATCAATTTTCGCAAAAAGAAATATTTTATTTACTTTAAATAGAAAATTTGCGAAAAAGCGTACTCTGATTTCAGTAAATAGCGGGGTGTTACACTCCCAGTATCTATTTGCAAATTCATAGCAAAGCTGAGTGCTCAGTACCGGTGGAGCAAAGGTGATTCTCAAGACAAAGGAGTGCACTGGAAAGCTTGGCATCTCCTTACTTTGCCTAAATCAAGCTCTGATCTGTAAGCAGCTCTGGAGATTGGTGTCTCAACCTGACCTTTTGGTGAGCCAAGTCATCAAAGCAAAATACTTCCCACACTGCTCAATTTTTTAAGCTTCCAAATCTCAGAATGGCTCCTGGTTGTGGAACACTTGGCTTGACTGTGTCCCTTTACTTGCTCAGGGGCTGAGAACAGATATTAATGATTGTTCTTCAACCAAGATCAATGATATCAACTGGATTCCAAGTCTTCCTTTGACAAAACCTGCTCTGATGCAAATAGCTCAAACACATATTATACGGGTCAAAGACCTATTGCAGGATAATGGACTACTATGGAATTCATGGTTGGTGAAGCAGTTATTCAATGAGAAAGAAAGCCAGGAAATTCTGAAAATCAAGACCTTGAATCCCACAAAGAGAGATAGACTTTTTTGGTGCTTTGAGAAGAAAGGAAACTTCACTGTCTCATTTGCTTATTCTCACTTGATCAAACAGAAGATCCTCCATTTTGATATCCCTGGTAATAGCAGGAACTCTGCTCTCATTAAAAAAGCAAGAGTTAGAACTTGGAATCTGAAAATCAAAGGGACCATTAAACACTTCCTGTGGAAATGTTTTAATGGTTCACTTCTTGTGAAAACCAATCTTGCCAATAGAGGTATAGTTGTTGATGTGATATGCCAAAGCTGTGGTGAAGAGCCTGAATCCATTGAGCACACTTTATTCCAGTGTCCTAGAGCTAAACTGATGTGGAAACTGAGTCCAGTGCAATGGGAGGGTGTAAGCTCAGATAGCTGCAACTTCAGCTCTGATGGAGGCGCTCATCAAGCTTGGTTGGAATTCAAGAAGCTGTAGTTTGTTGTTCTGTTTCTGTTGCTGTAGGGCTTTTTCTTTGTCTGTGGCTTTCTTTTTGTGGTGTTTCTTGTAGTTTAACTGTGGAGATTAGTATTGGACTAGGCTTTTGCAGTGGTCTGTTTATTTCTCTCCTTGTTTCCTGCTTTGTTTGAGGTTCTAGGTCGCTTTAATGCTTGTCCTCCCATTATTCTAGCTTTTAGGTGGTTTATTCGGCTGTTGGCCATGGGTTGTATTCGAACTTTATTCTCTTAGTTTTATATATAGTACATCTATCGTTCCCGAAAAAAAAAATATCAGTTTCATTCAAAATAACTCACTTTCTACACTAAATCCAATCTAAATTGAAATATTGATATCTAATCGCCCCGTAAAAGCCTCTTAGATTTATCAAATACCCTACCCACAATCATCTGCATTCATACATAGTTTGCAATGTCAGGCTTTCTTTTTTTTTTTTT